TTCGTCAGGATGCAGAGAGTGCAGAAAGAGTTCAGGATTTGGAGAACGAAAATGGCGAGCGACCGGGGCAACTGTTCGGCATCCAGCAGAAGGTAGGAGGCCAACCTGGCAATATGTAAGGCATAAGAGAGGGTCGACATGGTATCTAAGGGAGGAAAGGAGCACGCGATCAATACGGGAAGGACTAGCGGTGCCAGACCAAGGCGAGCCCCGTCGGCCACCAACCTAACCTCATATCATTCCAACCCCATCCCTGGGCAACCAACCTACTCTTACCTTCAACTCACCCCTCGGCACTGACTCACTCCGCGAGTCCGAACGAGCGGCGCCCTCGGCTTCCGCCATCTTCCACCGTCTTCCGCCGTCTTTCGGCCAAACCCGACGTTTCTTTCGCTCTGGTCAATCGCCGAGAAATCCCCCACAGGAGGAAAGAACGCTTTCTTGCTTCTGCGTAACACTCAAGGGTATAGTGAAATTCGTTAATCAGCTCGATGGTTCCCTTCCTTAGCCAACGATATAAAAAAAAATTGAATTACTTTATAAGGGAACACCCAAGAGGGCTTGAATCCGTAGACGAGATTTTGGATGAGAAGAAAGCTTCCGATATTTCTCTCAAATGTAAATCCCAACGAGATTTGGATTAATATCGAAGAACATGACAGGAATTCTATAAGATGTTGGTGGACACCTTTCAATTCGATCATTCTTTAAGCAACAGCGAAGAATCCTGGTTTTAAGGGAATGGTGGACTCCTCTCCGTGTACTTGAACCTATTTAAGGTATCCAAGGACGTGGTCGAAAGGGTCTAGTAGTTTCGACAGCTCCAGGAATACGATGGAAGCTACAGGTAGGCAGAAAGTTGGGCTAGCTTAAGATCGGATAAGACTCTACGAGGAACTAATCGTTCGGACCAAAATGGCGGACTTCCCGGTAGGGTCCGCTCGGGATGGTTCCGTCAATGGTCGAGCGATCTTGAACCCGTCATCACCGAGCGAATCTTAGAGTTCTCGGACCATCGGCGATGACCGAGGCGAATAAACAAAAAGGCGTTTGTCCAGCGCACAAAATTGCCTATCGTGGCTGGTATACGGGGCAATCAGCTTGGGAGCAGAAGGCACGACCGGCGGACCAGACATGCAACCATCAGCAACAAGTAAGACCTTATAGCATGAGAACAACTTGGTCGCTGGCTCGCTCTCGTTCGTTCACCAACTTACTACGTCACTGAATTCACTTAAGTCTAGGCTTGCTCGCATGGAGACGCGATCTAAATTGCCAGCCACACGAATGCCTCGAATGCATGCCCAAGGGAGGAAAGCGTTGCATCGCCATTGGTACCGGAAGTGCTGCGATTTTAAGGAAGCCGCCGGACGACGAACGACCACAACCCAGAAAACAACCGTGAAAGTACGCGTAAGACACGCTGCGCTCGTTGTTTTAACTTATTACGATTAGTTCGATCTTGAACCTTCGTTTACATACCTTCCTAGGTTCAATAGTACCCTGAAATATTCGTCAACCGCACATAGACTTCACTGAAGGAACGCGTGACGAACTCGGGCTCAGAAAACTTGGTAGACATACGAGACAAATATATTAGAGGGATTTAATTTGTGACGAATAGCTCAATGTTCACCTTATGTTTGCATATTTGTGGTTGGAAGTTCATATTGCATATCCTGTAGGCCTTCCAAATTGCTCAATTCGATGTAACTTAAAATAGAGTTCAATTTGAACCGGAAAGGACATAAGAGGATCAAAGTTAAAATCGAAAAACGATCGACTTTGATGTAGAGATCGGGTCTAAAGTAGAGCTTAATTTGAATCAAGTAGGTTGTACATGGTTGAAAGTAGGACATAAAATGTATAGTGGGATAAAAAACGGCCTTAGGTTACGCAGGGCTAAATCAGCGCTAAAATTTCGACCTGGCCTGTGAAAAGTTTTGCGGCATGTCTGGAAGTTTAGACTATTTCATCATTTTTAATCGTTCTTTTTCACATTCGCATGCATGATGGCGAGTGTTTCATTCAACGTGGGTTTAAGGTACGCTGGGAATGGGCTCTTCAATTATCAGAGAGTTTCTCGTTATTGCGGCAAGGACAGTTTTACCTCCGGCGCAATAACACATCCGAGACGACATGATTAGACGATGGCTAATGTTAGGGATTTCGTGCTAGACGCCGTGATTACTCCGTGTACCACGACTCGGACAAACCGTTCGTTCGTACCACGAGGCGGCATCACCTCTGATTCTTGTATTGCACCGCACCGTTACGGCGATATGGATCAAACTTTCGTTTAGTGCCGTAGAATAAGCAGCAGGTGCACGTGCAGCGAGCTGTCCCGAAAAATGCACTTCTCCTTCCTAACCCTCTAACCCCAAATAAAACTGTCAAGGAGCGAGATAAGAGGGAGATTATTTAACAAGATGTCCAAACGATTCGAGATCTTTCATTACTTCCGTTTCATGACCGGATGACGTTAAAGAAACAAATAAGTAAATTCGAAATTGAATCTAACCGAATGAACAAATAATTAGAAACTCAGTTGGGAAACATTTTATTTGGCGAGTACCTAAAGTGTGGATATAAAACTTGTCTTATTTTAGTGCTCGCTAAATAAAGTATTTTCAAAATGAGTTTCTAATTTTTTTTCCTTTAATTTTGTCAGATTCATTTTTTAGTTTATTTCATTAGTTATATGAAATGAAAAGCTGTAGATTTCCACGGATGTATGACTGAGAAGAAATATCATTTTTTTAATACTATGCAACTTGTATCACGTGGGGCATTATGTACAAGAGATTTGAGCTATTTTTGTAATTAAAGATGGAAAAAGATGCATTTGGCGTATCTTTCGTTACTTCTGTTTTATGAACAGAAAACGTTACAGAACTTAAGTTATTAAATTTTCAAGGTTAGAAAGACCATTTCTTCACAGTACCATTTTCCTAACATATGAACTTTCTTTAGCGTTCCTGAAATATTATTAAAACCTCATTTTACCCTGCTCGCCAAAATATCGCAGCATCTAAAAATAAAAATCGTTGAAATGAGAGACTGACACATATTGTTTAGGATAATGTGAAAAGTTGGTGATCGAATTTTGGTTTAAAAATACTATTAATTACCTAGATATAATCATAGTCTCCTTTTATTGTGTTAAACAGTATATACGATTATCAGATATGCACAATTTTTATTTTGAGGCATTGCAATTTTTTTAGCGAACAATGTGCTTACAATTTCCTCGATACAGTGTAACGTGACAAGTTAATTTTTCAAAAATCATAAACTATCAGAAAAGTAAAATTGCTGCTATCTAGGTGAAAAATAAGACAATGTTAGTCATTTCAAAGGGCAGCTGATGAAGTTTTGCTCTTATTGCAATAACAATTTCATTAACAGTAACAATGGCAAGAAAAATATCGTCGTTCCTGCTCGATCAAATAAACGATATACAGAAAGTTACCGCCAGCAAGGAATTCATTGCAACTATTAATATAATTTCTATTATCCCATTGAATTATATAATAGCAAATAAATTTCGTTACTCCTGTGACACATTTTTATCAAGATAGTTAGTAAAAATTTCAGTAACAATTGAAAAATTCTGCAAGAAAATTGAGTTGGCCTAATTTCAAGTGTTTAACATATAACAAAGCGAGAAAAATTTGTTATTGTAACCGCGAATTACTTTTCTACGTGTACGTAGAAAAGAGTGGACGCCTATCTCATCTGTCCCTGAAATGCGCTTACGCCATTTTGTTGTGTTATAAACATCAGGATTAACAAATTTATCGCGAAACTCGTAACGCGGGACTTCGAGGTCTCTTTTCCTCTCCGAGCTTCACAATTTCCGTCTCATGATTCAATTCTTTCGTCTCCTGCCGACGCGACGAGGAATCATTACCGATTCGACCCGCGTTGCAAGAAATAACGTAATTAACAAACGGTCAATTAATAACGCTCTCGTTACAGATCCTGGCAGGTCTCGATCCGCTCGCGACTGCTCACAGATGCTGTACCGATACGACCGCACGTATCGGTACGTCTACGTGCACGCGTACACGCGTACACGGATGCACCAGTGCACCTTGCACCGGGGTTAAAATGTAACTGCGAGAGCGTAATAGTATCGCATGATATGCGGCCATTAATCCGCGTAGGCTTCCATACTTTGGAGGAACGGACACCTTGCACGCCCGATTTCATAGCCGGTTCATCAACCGGGTATTCTCTTCTCTCTCTGCCCCAAGAGGGCCCCGATGATCGCGTCTCTCTCCGACCCTCTCGATGATTTAATTTCGCCGAGGTCTCGTGCCACCGATCAGCCGCTGCCACGGTTGATCGCGTTTCGGCGCAAACGTACTGCGCGTATGTGTGTGAAATTACACAGGAAAATGAACAAGGATGAGGAAAATTTGGCTCAAGCCCGCGTAGAAAACCGCCTAAGACATCCCAGATAGGAACATCTAACATGATTTTTCCTTGTTTACGCTAAACAGGGATCTGGTTAGGATTTAATTTGATATTCAAGACACTTTTATCTAGGCTTCTCTGTTAGCGTCTAGCTGGGGCCTGCTTAACATTGAATTATGTATTCAACGTAATTGTATTCGATCTTTCTTTTAAAGAATATCCTAGTTAGGGCTTGGTTCTCTATCCGATATTATTTTCCCTTGCTAACGCTAAGCTAGGGCCTGGTTAGGATTTGGCATCCGAGACAATTTTTTCAACCCTTTCTCATTAGCGACCAGTTAAAGTCTGATTAAAATTTAATTTTGCATTCAATGCAATTGGGTCAACTGAGGATATCTTGGTTTGGCTTTACCAAAAAGAATGCGATATTCCAATGTAGGCTCTACACTGACAAATCGGCATCCCAGCTAGGTTCTAAACAGCGCTCTTGCAGATTTTCCATACGGGAGAATTGTGAGGGTCGATCCTAAACGACGTCTCATGTGATAATTTGAAGATGATTTTAGGATAAAACTCACCTGTAGGAACATTTCCCCATCTAGGTGGTGGTGGTCGTAGGCGGCAAGGGCGGCCAGCTCCCTAGCCCGGTAATGCGAGTCGTGGTGCGAGTTCTCCTCCTTGTCCTTATGCATGACCACTGCAACAGGTAAAAGGAAAGATGGCTTGAGTCATCGTGGCCCGAGTCGTTGTCGGATCGGACTTATAGACCCGATCTACCCATCGGTCTAACAAAGAAAAGGCCGCGAATTCCTCTGAAAAACCTAGGCGCCAATTTCTGATTTCATGAGGAGTCTAAAATGGGTTGATAGACTCTCTCCAGAGCGTCCTACCCCAATCAGGGAAAGATCAGCTGCGTCCAAAAATTCTGAATTTAATCCGAAGAACAATGTGTATAATCTTGGGAAACCGTCACGTCGATTCATGGCGGGAAATTTAAATTTACGGCGGCCACGTCGGCTTAAAACATCTTAGTTAGATCGAAGAAGAGCTACGAAACCGAAGCCTTGTTCTGCAGGTTGGTAGGGAACTTAATTGAAGGTTGACCGCACAGTTTCCAAACGTCTTCACTCGACCGAGCAGCGACCACGGATACTCCCGGAGAAGCTAGGCGCCATTTTGCGGGTTTGCAGGAGGTCCAATTAGACGTTGATCAGCTCCTCCCAGAATGTCCGGCCAGGCGGAAAGTCGGAGTAGACGTTGCGCTCCTGGCCGCGGTTTTTCGCTCGGTTTCGCCTCCGGATTTCGCCTCCGTCTCCGCGGAACCCCCAGGGGCCACGTACTCGTCCCTCCTTCCGATATTTCCCCTTTTTTGTCCGTCCTTTTACCTCTCTCGAGGGCCTCGAATCGGCCGAGTGATTAGAGGTCCACCCCAACCCTCGCGGGATCTTCGCGCACAGGGACGCTGTATCCGAGAGGTCGCTCGCATTCGCGCAAAACCGCCGTAATCACGATCGGTTTTATGATTTCTTTGCTTCCAGGTAGAAACCGGGAAGGCAGTTTCTTGTCGCGGGAGTCGAGGGGCCGGTCGATTTACGATGACCACCCTTAGACGACTACGCCCTACGACCCATCTCCAGAGACCCGATTCTCGAGTTCATCCGATCAACTTTCGCATGCGAAATTGACAGTTTCGTATAAGACTTTCAAATGTTGACGAATGACGCGACTTCGCAATAATGCAAAATTATTCATGCGAATCTATACGTATGCGAAAAACGTTCACATGAACTTGAGAATCGGGTCCCAGAAGGCCACCGATCAAGGCCTGCGAAAACTTAGATTGTGCGTCAGGGACAGGTTATTCGAGGTTGATAGAAACTTGGTTGATCGTTCGATCAAGCGATATTGGCATCCGAACCCTTTGCTATATTATTTATTGTTACCTATACAGGCCCCGATTTTTGAGTTCATGCGGACTTTTTTCTCATACGCATAGATTTGCGTGAAAAATTTTGCATTATTACGATGACGCGTCATTGGTCAGCATTTGAAAGTTTTATACGAAACTGTCAATTCCACATGCGAAAGTTGTTCGTATGTACTCGAGAATCGGGTCTCTGATAAGAGGCAAAGTTGCTTGCGAATTGGGACAAAGAGATTTATGATTACCTTTACCACGTAAGGGGATGCGAAAGATGCCGAAATTTAAATGAAGTCGACGAAAGAGAATTCTATTTATCGGGTGTCAATGCTCAAAGTACTTGGTATCGAATTGAAAGCATCAAGTATTCGCTTGTATCGGTTTGTCCCTACTCGTAATGCATTTTACTTGTAACTCGAGTATCATCCCATGCCTCTCAAATCTGATTGCGCGCGACATTCGGAATCACCCCTCGATCTATCTTCTTGGGACTGTCGCGGAGAGTATATCGTTCTCTACGAGCACATTAGTCACGGTTTTCGGCTTCGTTTCCGGAAAGATGGAGAGGAAGAAACGACGGGTGTTTGATAGTGCCGGTTTCCGGTATTTGCCGCATGAGGAGGCGCCCTCATTAGGTTCTTGGTGACATGGTCCTGGGTTTGTTCCCGTTTTCGATGTCTGTTGTATGCGATGGGGTCTTGCGGGACCCCAGGACACCACGTAGAAATATATTCGTTTCCTTCGTGTAAGGCATAGTATCTCCTCTACTTATTGAAAGGTCATGCGACATATGCGTGCTTCTGCAATATTGCGTGCCATTTCCTTTATGGTCAGGCTGTCCAGCAATTCGATCCTGGTCAATTGGCTTCTTTACTCACGTATTGGAATAAACCGACACAAGTAAAATCGAGCTTTTACTCGATACTTTTATGTTAATACCAAATACTTTTGGCATCGACCCTTCCAGCTTTGATACTTAGGTACGTGGTATCGGTGAAAAGTTCTCGTATCGAATCGAATGAAATGGACATAATGAATATGTATTTTATAATGAATTTTTTCTTTGTACCTACTCGAACATTAAACCAATTAATAACAAAAGTGTATTTTGATTAGAAAAGAAAGTCATATAAAACCGTATTCTCTATTCATTTAACTCAGGTATTACCCTTATGGCTACTCCTGCAACACCGAAGATGAGATGAAAGTGGTATCAAAGTGGTATCGTTTATGAATCTTTTCTTTGAACTGGGTGTATCGTATCGTTTGAACATTTACAACGTGAATGTAGAAGCCCTAAAGAAAGTCCAGGATATTAAATTTTTTTACATTTGTTTATAGACACTTTTCCATTTTTTTTTATATAAAGACTCAATTTTTACGAGTGTGGGGGCTTTTCATAGGGTCTCCATATTCAGGTGGTAAAATTTCAAACAAAAGTTTGGTTTATCTTGTTTGCATTTTGATTCGATACGAGTTATTGATATATATTTTTTTTCGATACTGAGTAGTTGAAGAAGAATTTTTCAATACTGAGTAGAATTTTTCGACATTGAATAATGTATCGCCATGTTTTTTGATTTGGGTAATAAGTATCGTTAATTTGGTGGTATCGATTCATTTCTCTCAGTTTATTTCTGGTTTCGAGATTAGTCGTATACGACGAGGCCTTCTGGGACCCCGAGAGGCCACGTGGAAATATTGTACATCCGTTTCCTTCGTGTAAGACATAGTATATCCTCTACTTATTGAAGGGTCGTGTGACATACGCGTGTTTCTGCGGCATTGCGTGCCACTCTCTTCATGGTCAGGCTGTCCAGCGACTCGGACACTGGTCAATGGTCACTGGCTTCTTCACCCACGCATCGATGTCTCCCAACGCTCGCGTCGCCACGCGACGTTATTCTGTTTTGTAAAAAGTCTACAAATTTGTGTGCACTTACCCTACCGTACATGCATTTTAGGACAGTGCCTCCTGACTGTATAAGATAGCAATGACATTTCACTTCAATGTTGACAATATTCATAAAGTTCATGCACTTTTGTTACATAAGATTGCAGTAAAATTGTAAGTATTGTAAGTTAATTAATCGGGAAAGTGATTTATAGGAAAAAGTAGTCACCGATATTAGAAGAAGCGAAGAATTCGAGAAGACTGTCAGATAAGAGAAAGCAAAGGTGATAAGTGCGCGTCGTGGAAAGAGGAAATAAGAAGGAACAAGAAGTGAACGACATTTCTCCTCGAAGTCCCACGGGTGTAATACGAAAAGTTCACCGATCTGTTGCAGTTTCATGCACCTGCCTCCGGGTTGTTTAATATGCACGTCAGAAGTAGAGCATACGGGAGCTTCGCTCCACTAAATAACAAACCAGCAGCCATGAAAATCGCCGCGAATTAACTAACGATTGCGATCTTTAGGCGTTCGATACGTAGCGTGACTAACAAGGAAACATTCCCAAGTGTCCCACGCCGATCTTATTGATTTTCATATATGGTAAAGAACACCAAAACCTAAGAGACACGTGTTTTTTTTTTAATCTGCAATGGTTCATATTTAATGGGTGAAACAACCCCCAAAAATCTGTCGAAAATTCGATTTTTATTTTAGTTTTTGTAGAAGCAGTGAAGTGATTTCGACGAAATTTAGCATAAACGTATTCTGTATAAAGACGATGAAAACACAATATTGTCCAGTAATGCTACACCACTTTAAAGTAAACAGAAAATGCCTTAATAATTTCAATAAGTGTTCATTTTTCATTTAAACAGTACTTAATATGTACGTTGCACATGTATGAGTAGGCATACAATAGAAATGCCTATCGCCCAAAAGATCAATTAATGACGTTGCTTTTATAAGGCACTAACAATTTTCCTAGACAAAAGTCTCAAGAACATCGCGTTTATGGCACCTCAATTCCCAGCTTGGATCTTCAATTCTCTGTACATGGAGCCGTTTATCCAGTTTCCGATCCTTGAAAATGAAGTCATTTCGTGCAAGAAGCGGCGACCCCAGGGAGAGTGGATCGGTACGCACTCGCGCGTTCTCGCATCTCATCGAGAAGCGCTCATCTTGAGCCCGGGGCTATCTTCGTCGGCTCTTTGGATATTATACATCTAGGGTACTTCCTCGATGCGCCGAGTCCCGGCTCATTCTTTCTTCCTCGTAATTCTCACCGCGGTGCTCGCTTAGCTCGCGGTTCTCTGCCGAACCGAAGTGGAATCTCGGGGCGAACGAGGGCAAACCCGAGGCCCGCGCCTACTCCATTACTCGACCATCAACGTCCGTTTATATAGACGTTCTTCGAGTACAAATAATGACTTTGCGCTTCGTGTACGCAGCGACCCTTCCTTCCTTTATGGATGATGACTCGTGCTTTGGAGCTCCTGCCGGCCCCGGCAGGCGCCGAGGCGCTTAAAACCTACTAAGTGAATGCTTAACCGAATGATTATCGCATTGTTACAAGATCGATCGGTGATTAATGGGTCTGTCGGGCTGGTATTAGGAGCACTCGCCACCGGCCGCCCCGTAAAGCGATCGCCATCAGTTTTGGCGATGATCGCCGCAGGTTATTTTCGTCTTACGAAGAAACATTCCCAAGTGTCCCACCCCGATTTCGATAATTTTTATATATGTTGTAGAACTCAAAAATCTAAGGGACACGTATTTTTTTTTACGTGCTAAGATTGATATCTAGGGGGTGAAACAACCCCTCAAAGTTTGATGAAAAAATCGATTTGTCAATTTCTTCTATGGAAGAACACGGATTTCAAT